CACAGAACAGACAACAGGTTATGATGAAACAAAGCTCATTCCAACCATTGGAATAATTATTAACCAGACAACATTTGTAAATCAACCAGACATTTTTCAGCTACATAAGCTCAACATAGTCAATCGTGAACACATTGACCAGATAAAACTTCATCAAACCATTATCAGAAACACAACAATCGGAGGATTTTTAGCACTTTTATTAGTGTCATCCAGTCTTGGAGTTTGGATCCTTTTATCAATCAAAAGAAATAGAGCAACAATGATAAAGGTAAATGTAGACAATTTAAAACAATCTTCAGAATTGTCTCATTACAGTAAAAATGGTAATTCAAACCACATGGAGATTCGGGACGAATCTTCTCATAGGGGGGAGAAGTTATCAACATCATCCTATACAAAGGGTGACTCATCATCAGTATCTTCCCATAAATTGCCATTGACCAACAAATTCACGTTTCCAACTCTCAAAGTATCAACATCCTCCTCCTAAGGAAATAAGAATCATCAAACAGCTCATACCTCTTAAGAAAGTATGAATCATCATCAATACGCATCGTCCAGATCGCACCCGCAACATTGAACTTAAAAAAGCAGCAGCGAACTTGACTGATCCTGTATCACCAAACATAAACCATCATTAATACGCACTATCCAGATCACACGATCAACATTGAACTTGAAACAACACGAATCAACGATCAGCGAACGACGCAACTTCAACCATCCAAGCATCAACAGGAAATGTTTGCATAAACAATCATAATCTGCAGAGCCGACAAAAGCACATCGAAGTCACCAATGCCTAGTGAAATAAACAGAAGCGCATCGTGGAAACATCGAGAACATCGAGGTTGCTTTCATGATGGAACATTGCGAAATTATGATGCAATAGCTCTTAATATAAAACTGTTTTGATAGGGAAATAAAGAGTTCTAGTTTTGGTCTTCAACCGATTCACATCTTAGTTTTAATTTTTAAAAACGACATCCTTGTTAGGAAGTTGTTAACTTAGATATTAACATCGCCCAACCCAACATTTTCCTTTCCGTGGTTGACAAATTCTCTAGATTTGGCACCTTACTTCCAATAAAGTCTAGATCCATTCCTGACGTTCGCAAAGCGATTCTCAAATACATCACCCTGTATGGCATTGTCTCTGACAACGAACCTGCCATAAAATCTATAGAAGTAAGAGGATTGCTTTCGGATTTGAATATACAGCAGTATTTCACCCCTTCAAACCATAGCCAAATGAATGGAATAGTAGAAAGATTCCATTCCACCATAACTGAAATTTTCAATTCCAACAAACATAAATACGGAGAATTATCAAACAAAGAGAAATTTCTAATTGCATGTACTCTTTATAATAATAGTATCCATACAGGTACCAACCTTAAACCCCGCGAAATCTTTTATGGAATCAAAACTGGAGAAGAGCGACCTCTGAATATAGATAACATGATCCAGCTAAGGGACAAATTATACGATGAAGCAGCACTAAAACTCAAGGAAACACAGGACCAACAAAACAAGTACCACAACAGCAGTAGAGAAAAACCACCGACTCTACAACGCGGCGAAATGGTATACAATAAAATTCAAGGAATTAAATCTAAAACTAAAGACCGTTTTCAGCAAATACAAGTTAAATACAACAGAAGACGCACATACAGAGATACAAAAAAAAAACGACGATTACACAAAGAAAAACTTCGCCGTATCCGGAAATAGTTTTTCAAAATTCTAACTCTCTCTATTTTCTCTTTTTAGGTGATATCAATTCGGATATTCTTAACCACAATCATTGCGTTCCTGTATATCCAACTATCCCATCCACAATCCATCCATATCCAGAACCTGAAACAAAACCCTGGCCTTCTCACCATAGACACAGGCAGCAGTTTTATAAAACTAGGCAGTCATAAACTTTTTCACATAATAGAATTGGATAATTACGAGCCTATTTTTAGAAAACTGCTCACGAATATTCAAGGAATACGACACTTTCCAAATTTTACGGACATGTTGAAATACTAGAAACAAAATATGAATCTGTTTATAGCATCTTTAACAGTCTTCGACCAAAGCAACGAAGAAAGAGAGGACTATTAAATTTGCTAGGGACAGGAATAAAAGGAATGACCGGGAATATGGACCATAATGATTTCGAAGAAATTTCAAAAAGCATTTACAAATTAATAATAAAATCCTTACTAACGAAAATAATGAGCAACTTAAAATTAACTTACTATTACAAAATCAAATTAACTTCTTAATTAACCGGTTGAACAAACAACAAAACCTTATTTCAAAAAATATTGTATCAGCAAGGTTAGACAACGAAATCAACAAAAAATTTTAAAATATTCAGGGAAATTATAAAGATCAATTACAACTTAGATAACCTGAGGACCCATCTTGAAGATCTGTTTGAATCAGTGCAACTAGCTAAAGTAAATATTATTCCAAAACAAATACTATCAGTCAAAGAGTTAGGATTTGTTTCAAATATCCTAGAACAACAAAATAATAGACCACACAGCACTGCACGGCATAGCAGTTAGCACGATCACTAACCCGCACCCAAGTCCAAGCATCAGCGATTCTTCCCCAGCAACACAAAGGTAGGTCTGTAACGAGCAAGGCATATTCCTACATCAGCAAATGGTCATCCGGCAGCCAACGATGTCACCAACCCTTGGACCCGCCAACGACGGAAGACACCTCAGCAGTTTCACCACCAACTAACGATGTCACCAACCCATGGACCCGCCAACGACGGAAGACACCTCAGCAGTTTTGTCGCCTTTGCAACAGCAACACGGCGACCACGTTCCCTCTTTAAATTTATCTTACTCAGCTGATTGATAGGGCTTCGGTAGGTTTGGTTATAATATAATTCAATAATCAGTTCAGTTGGTTTTAGACCTCAGTAGAGTTAACTAGTGCTTTTTTTAAAACTTAAGTCTGGATGACGCATCCAAAAGTTATATACAGGCGGTCAAAAATTCACCAGCAAAGAAATCAACAACAACTACAACCAAGTGATTGAAGGAGCTTTCGCAAATTTAAAAATCACTCTAAAGATTTTGGAGCACAAAAACATATCAAAAATTCATGAAATAGCCATCTGGAACAGGGACAAAATGGATATCATCAGTTTCAAACAGAGCGAACAACACGTTTGGATTATGAGCATATTCAGTGAACTTTCGCCAGTAACAGGAAGAGGAAATTAGTACTTAAAATTCGTTTACCCAACCAAAAGAGAGTTCAACAAAAACCACAGGAATCACAACATACAGCTATTATGGCCGAGGACGTCCATTCTTCAACCCCCGGAGGAGTTACACAGCAAAGTACGAGCACAACATAGCCAGAGTACGGCATAGCAACAGGCTACAGAGTACGGTATAGCTACAGTCGAGTCAGCGAGAATGGCCAACGACGGATACAGAATACGGAGTCAGCATATGGAATGATTAGCATATCGACCCTTCAGACGGTTAACTATAATCTTTCTCTGCGACCCTGCTGGATCCCTCCAGCCAGGCTTCGCGTCGAGTGGAGAAAGCAAAGTGCACGTGTATTTGTAGGCATCAAATGTTAAAATGCCAAACAGGCAATTAGTAGATGTTAGCAGATTTATCAAACAAGCAAGATTCAATTTAGACAGATCAGTCGATTGGCAACACATGCTGCACCTGCACAACATCATCTTCAACCTGGACACCATTCGCTACCAATTGGACACCATATTCGAAGCTATTCAACTATCCCGACTTGGAGTAATTTCAACGACACTGTTGTATCCCGCCGAATTAGAGTTGGCAACCCAAATGTTGAGATCGCAGGGAATTGAGATCACCAGCTACGATCAAACGTATGAATTTCTGGAATTGGCAGCTCTTCATAATGACTCTTCTATCATATTCTTAATCAAAATACCAAGGCTGAGGAATGGCAGTTACCAATTACTTCGAATCGAACCCATACTAGTTGATCGAAAGACAAGTAAGATCAACAGCAAATTTGCTATAATTAACAAGAACGAATCATTCCTATCAGATGAAAAATGCAATCAAATCGAAAATACTTTCTATGCAACATCGAAAATCTGGACAACGTAACCAGTAACCAATGTTACCACCAGCTACTTCGTGGTAATCCAAGCAGATGCGTGTTCATCAGTGACCCAAGTTCATCAGAGCCTAAAATCATCGAATACAACGGCAACTTGGTGAAGAACGCTATGATCCCAGTACATCTTCAAAACACTCGTGGATATGGACCAACGAATCTGACTGGAACGTTCTTCGTAACATTCAACAACTGTTCAGTTAGTATTGGAAATACCCGTTGCGATAGTAAGGCGTTTCGATTCGACCTAAAACCCGACATTCTTCCGTTACACTCCGTCACCGTTAACAAGACAGATCATCGTGGAACCGATAGAGGAGCTACATGGCCTACAAGCAAACAACCGTCACAGGATAAACCACCTTAGCTACAGCCATTTTCTCATACCTTATCAGAGAAATATGGAGGATTAGAAATTTCATGCGAATTCAACAACCCAACTCATCGCAGTAAGTTGAACCGGGACGGTTCAATCTAAGAAGGGAAAAGTTATGTACAAACGCATGCTCTACCTATGCTCATCCGATCATGGCATAGATGCAGAATCATCAATACAGCTGGTAGCAACATCGACCAGCTTACAACACACCAACCATCGAGTCAACAGCAGAACGGACGCGATTCTACTGACTCAACAAGATAACACGCAGGGCGCAGTTCTCCTTACTCAACAAAGTCACATCGGACGCAGTTTTGCTGATTCAACGAGTCGCCAGACCGGACGCAGTCCTCCTGATCCAGCATACAACTGCAGCTAATCGACCATCGATCGGTAGGAACAATTTATATTCCAAACTAATCAGTCAGTTTTAGTTTAGTTTTTGAAGTGTCCCTTTCGAACAGTGCAGTGCTCGTGTTAAATGTAAAAAGGCTTAGTGAATAATAAACGGTTGAATTATTTCAAAGTGCTTTTTTAAAAAGTCTTCAAGAAAAGAAAGCGGTGTGCTAAATAAAAACGCGGAATTACGCGAGTTAGCGACGTAGCCATCTGGATGTTTTGGCAACATGGATCAAGTCCACGACGTACGGAAAGGTTACATCAGTGGAACTTAGCGGGCCCGGCAACAGCTAGCTCAGCGATATGGATGCGGATAGCAACGACGGAAACCAGGTGCTGACATGTCAGCACCGTGGTAGTTTTTTTTTTTTTTTACAAGAACCTCCCTCTCGTAAAAAGTTAACTCGCATTCCAACCCAACCAGACGACCGGGAATATGGCCCTTGTGGGGTTCCACCTATCCGGAGAAAGGCCTGATTGTATCAGGCTTTTCTCCGGATAGGTGGAACCCCACAACTCTGCTAGTAGAGTACATAGATCATTGGAAAGTTACACAGAAGCTCATCCTCTCAGATCCCCGATCCGTTACCAAATTTGTTCCGTGCCTCCCGAGCCAATGAAGATTCATTTCCCAATCTACACAGCTTCAACAGTTCGAGTAAGTTTGTGAAAACCGATCTTCTGCTGCCCAATTTTACCAACTAGAGGACAACGATAAACTCGTCCCATCCCAGTACCTCAAACGTTCGTAAAACATGAAGCCACACCCCGGCTAGAGACGATCCCCTCGAACTTCCAGAAACCCATGGTAAAAAAAAACCCTTCCAAGCATACCTTTACCGACCTTACAAATCCGTAACCGGTCCGGACACGTTAATCGCACTGGACGGCAGATGCATGTACTGCTTGCCGGACGACGGCGGGATGCTCTGGATCTGCGCTGCCTTCTGTAGCTTGGCGGGTGATATCGGTGCGGCCGGAGGATGAGTCAGCTGAGGGCTTGGCGAAACGTTGTTGATGGTTCGGAAGTAGTACTGTTGCTGTTGCTGTTGGTACTGCTGCTGGTGATGGCTACTAGCCACCACCCCCATTCCAACTGGGCTCGCAGTCGTCGTCGGCGTCGGCGTCGTCACTGTCGTCCGCGATTGAATGCCGTATCCGGGATGGTGCTGCGGCATTGTGACGGCTGACGGAACCTGTTCTTTGAGAGTGCTTACAATATTTTCCAAACTGAATCGGGGGATGTTTCAAATCGGTATTTGGGTTGAATGGATTGGAAGAATTTCGAATGATCACGCGATAGGAAGTGAATGGAATGAAGAAACGGAGAGAGAGAGAGAGAGAGATAGTCTCATGTTAGTAAATACTGACTAGGATCTATGTACAGACACACACACACACACAACTACAATGGGGTTAATCTTACGCTGTAATCCGGTTTTCCGACTCCTGCTTCGAGGCCAAAGCATCCTGTAGCTCTCGCCTCAGCATCAACGCATCCTTCTCCAACAACAACACCTGATCGTTGGAGGAATCATCATGCATTTCCTCCCCGAAACCACCACCTCCATTTAACGTCTGGCCGACAAAGCTATTCTCACCGATCTTGCCGCGCATATTGTTACTACCGCCACTGCCGTTGCTGAATCGCAGTTCGTTGCTCAGGTCATTGAAGTTATTGCCGCCGTAGAACTCGTCCGTATTGCTTATTCTTCCGTAGTTTAAATGCATACTGTTTCTCCTCAATTTTGCCGCCTGACCAGCCGTGGACGACGACGAACCTGCATAGGAGTCCCGCTCCCGCAGATGGTGCTGATGATGCTGCTGCTGCTGCTGATGCTGGTGACTATTCAGCTGAGCCCGTAGGTTGATGACCTCGTTCTCGAGTTTCAGCATCCGATCGACCATCTGGTTCATCTCGGACCGCACCATGTGCATGCTCTTTTTCATGTCTTCCGATTCCTTGAGTAGCCGAAAGTTGGCCTCGTTCATGGCCCACGACCGCTCCTCGATCATTGTTTTCATGCGATCCATCATGGCTTCCTCGCGGACACGTGATACCTCACGGATCTCCCGAATCACATCCGCCACCATACCAGGACTGTAGCTACCTGAAAGATCGAGATCCCAAATTAGATCGCCTATCTAAACACATTGTCCACGGATACATTTAAGTTCAAATTTGCCAACTAGGTGCCCTATGTAGACTTAAACACTAGATGAAATACCTTGCGAGTGATACGTCGGTGCAGGACTCTGCAGTCCGAAGCTATTGTAACGCATTCCTACTGGCTGACTATTGGTGCTCATACCGCTTATACTGTCTCTACGTTGGCTAAGGCCCCAGTGCGAAGAATGCTTCAAAGCTTCCATCTCCACTAGAAGAGGTGAACAGATGGGTCCGGGTACAGAGAACGTTGGAAAAATGGATAAACGGTGGGATAGGGCGTGGGAAAATTGGTAGGCATCGGAGGTGGTGCATGACAAGAAAGAAAGAAATCAAACAATTAGCTACTCTCACGTATTCATCTTATAGACTAGAGCAATGAATATAGGCAGTAAGAAATCATAAATATGTATAACCAAATTAGATAAAGAAAAAAAAGAATAACAAGCAGAACGCAAGCATGCTTTCGCAATAGAACAGAATCACACGCACGCACACAGTTCAGTGATCACGCACTCTCCCATGGCGGAGTCAAGAAACAGTTTACAAATCTTCACACTACGGGACCTACCTTTGGTTTCATGCAAATTTCGGCAGATTTTCTTATTCGTTTCGTGCAACTTGCTAATCTCCTTGAGCAGAACCACCACCAGATTATTGCTATTGGTGCTCTGATTGATGCCACTGGTTGCACTGGTTGTGGTGCCATTGTAGCCACCTCCACCACCCCCTCCTCCTCCTCCGCCTCCATTGCCCGATGCTGTACTGGTACTGCCATTGTTGTTGTTGTTGTTGTTGTTGTTGTTGCCATGACTGGCCATCATTAAGCCACCCCCACCACCACCGCCACCACCACCGTTCAGGAGGTTCAGGTCGGCCAGCAGGGTTTCCGCCATTTCCAGCTTCGATTTGGCACAGCTGTTCTTCGATTCGTTGTCCGACGAGTCGTTGATGTACGAATCGGTCATGCTGGAAAGGAGAAGATGAGCCGATCAGAATGCGGTCTACGCTTGGATATGATTGAAATTTCAATGATCAATCTGTTTCAGTGTGTATTGGAAACATAAGGGCTGTTCCCGAACTTGCATTTTTGCTATTGCTGTAAGTTGCTGTAAGGAAATAGTATCAACCGGTGGAAGCTAACGACTTTTAATTGGCTCACTACTTGTCCAGCCTATTGGTCCCAAGTAAATCGATTAACGTACCCCATTCTAGTACTACACTAAGTTTGTTTTGATTCGCTATGAAGGTTTGACAGATAAAATTAGGGGTCGTGGATTTTCCTATGTTTCGAGGGGTGCATCGATTAGCCGAAGATAGTACCAGAGCTGAGCCAAAAAGTTGAGCATCTTTCTTTGGGACCTTCTGTTCTTAGAGTCATAGAGGTAACTCTAAGACCAGAAGGTCCCGCAGAAACGTGCGCAACGTTTTGATTCAGCTCTGGTACTATCTTCGGTCCCAAGCTAATCGATGCACCCCTCGAAACATAGGAAAATTTTATCTGTCAAAATTTCATAGCGAATCAAAACAAACATAGTGTAGTACTGGAATTTATACTAGAATGGGGTCGTTAATCGATTTGCTTGGGATGAATGGTCTAGTCAAGTAGTTAGCCAATTTAAAATCGTTCATTTCGAATTGATTGTTGCTATAACTGCATAATTACAAAAAAATACACACCGTGCCAGGAATCGTGGCAACGAAAAAACGCCGATGACGTGTTAACATTTGTTGTCAGAAAGCGTAGACAGGTTTTGCCTCTGTCATTTAAGTTGACAGGAAGCTCGGTGTAACTAGTAGATAGAGTTAGTGTGGAATAGAAATGATGTATGTATGTAAACAAAATTTGATTGGTTCGGGAATTTTGATACAGTTAGAGGAATAAATATGAGGTACCTAAGCTCTTTGACGGCATTCTTATGACGGACTGTGGAGAGAGCGAACGACCAGCAAAGGACCACCAGCAGAAGGGATAGCTGCACTAGCGGACCAACAAAGGGAACAGCAGATTCGTGGAACCGTGACTGAGGCTGGAAACCTCGGTCCAGTCACGACAATGGCACAACTCGGTAAGAGAGAACCATCCTCTTTCTTGCGAGGATGCTACTGGCGCTCCCTGTGAGGGCAGTTGAAATTCCCCTCCTCCGAGAAGGTAGAAGAAATTCCTTCGAGAAGATAGAAGACATTCCTCCGAGAGGGTAGTAGAAATTCATCCGAGAGGGGAGAAGAAATTCCTCCGAGAGGGGAGAATAAATTCATCCGAGAAGGTAGAAGAAATTCCTCCAAGAAGATAGAAGACATTCCTCCGAGAAGGTAGAAGAAATTCCTCCGAGAAGATAGAAGACATTCCTCCGAGAGGGTAGAAGAAATTCCTCCGAGAAGATAGAAGACACTCCTCCGAGAGGGGGGAAGAAATTCCTCCGAGAGGGTAAAATAAATTCCTCCGAGAGAGTAGAAGAAAATCCTCCGAGAGGGGAGAAGAAATTCCTCCGAGAAGGTAGATGAAATTCCTCCGAGAGGGTAGAAGAAATTCCTCAGAGAGGGTAGAAGAAGTTCCTTCGAGAAGGTAGAAGAAATTCCTCCGAGAAGGTAGAAGAAATTCCTCCGAGTGGGTACAAGAAATTCCTCCGAGAAGATAGAAGACAATCCTCTGAGAAGGTAGAAGAAATTCCTCCGAGAAGGGAGAAGAAATTCCTCCGAGAAGGTAGAAGAAACTCCTCCGAGAAGGTAGAAGAAATTCCTCCGAGAAGCTAAAAGAAATTCCTCCGAGAGGGTAGAAGAAATTCCTCCGAGAGGGTAGAAGAAATTCCCCCGAGAAGGTAGAAGAAATTCCTCCGAGAAGATAGAAGACACTCCTCCGAGAAGATAGAAGACACTCCTCCGAGAGGGGGGAAGAAATTCCTCCGAGAAGATACAAGACATTCCTCCGAAATGGTTGAAGAAATTCCTCCGAGAGGGTAGAAGAAATTCCTCCGAGAGGGTAGAAGAAATTCCTCCGAGAAGGTAGAAGAAATTCCTCCGAGTGGGTACAAGAAATTCCTCCGAGAAGATAGAAGACATTCCTCTGAGAAGGTAGAAGAAATTCCTCCGAGAAGGGAGAAGAAATTCCTCCGAGAAGGTAGAAGAAACTCCTCCGAGAAGGTAGAAGAAATTCCTCCGAGAAGCTAAAAGAAATTCCTCCGAGAGGGTAGAAGAAATTCCTCCGAGAGGGTAGAAGAAATTCCCCCGAGAAGGTAGAAGAAATTCCTCCGAGAAGATAGAAGACACTCCTCCGAGAAGATAGAAGACACTCCTCCGAGAGGGGGGAAGAAATTCCTCCGAGAAGATACAAGACATTCCTCCGAAATGGTTGAAAAAATTCCTCCGAGAGGGTAGAAGAAATTCCTCCGAGAGGGTAGAAGAAATTCCTCCGAGAAGGTACACTCGGCTTACTGATTATCAGCAAATGCTCTGACATGTGTCTATTTAACTGGATTTCGGTAATGATAAAAATACTAATACCAACAGGTGGTCGTTACTTTACACACTAATTTTGTGCCGATTTTTTCTCAGTGTACCTAACGTGTGCCGGCAGTGCCGAGAGTGTCAGTCATCAGACTGACATTGTTTGTTTGTGAAAAAAAATAGATGTTTGGCAACCCGGTTCAAATGTTTTCTTTTGAAGAAACAACACAACAAGTAGTGGAATCCGAACAAAACCAGAAGATCTCCAGCTGGACAAGCTGACACCGGACAAACTGGCTCTCGATCGGCTGCTGGTTATATTGCAATAGCTGAAACGGGCTCACGTTATCGATGCCGTTTGTGCGATTCTTCTCTACAAAATTTGGGATGGCAAGATTGCTAGCAACTAAATTGACGAAAGCGTGATCGTTGGTCATCATTCGGGGATATGAATCGGCTGCCGAGATCAACGTTGATGCACGGTTTGAGATGGCCAAGCACATGTCCCAACTGGACGAGAAAAAACGGGACGAAGCGTTTAAGTTGCTCACACCGGTGGATTTGAAGACGGAGACACTGGAGAATGCAACGAACGTGTTCCTGCTGCTAAAGGCTGGTTGCTTCAGCAGTGTCACCGGGGAGCAGTTGGATGCATTCAAAAAGTGTTTCCAAAAGCTATTCTCGGTGCAATGCTGCTACTCCGCACTACTCAGTCGTCGTCGTTGGCATCTTCGGTTACCGTCATTATCATTGGTCCTGGATATCAGCAGTTTTTTTTTTCGAAAGGACTTCTAGAAGACTCATTAGAATTATTTTGGACTTGCTACTGGAAAATGGACCGTGAGGAATAACTTTTCGGAAGGTCCAAGCCAACCGCAAAAGTGGTCAATTCATACAAGAATTCAGCGTTTTTTTTTTTAGAAAACACACATAGAGGACTCAATACAAAGAATTCGAACTTGTGACCAGAAAAGAACCCTAGTGATCATGGGGTGAACCTTCCGGAAGATGGCAACTTCCAGTATGTGGAAAAGTGTAAAATACTCCTAAATATGGGTATTTCAGGAACGTGGTGCGTGGTCCATAGGCAGGGCCATACCTACCGATTTATCGGTAGTCCTATCGATTTTCGGGATGCCTACCGAATCACAGACGAACGGTTCAAAACTACCGATGATTCATTTTCCGAGAATCACAGATTTTAAGTCTTCTTGAAAAATCTTCAATACCTATGTTTTGTTTTCCGTGTAGTCAGTCAATTTGATCGAACGCAATGTGTTTTGCAACTTCAGTCCAAACGGATGAGTTTTTTTTTTTTTACTTTTACGCTCTGAACTATTTGGTGGATTACTTTAACTTTTAGTTAAAATTTGGCAGATGGAAAGTTATCGATTAACCCTGCTATCCGAGTGTGGTTACTTCTGACAGATAAGAAGTTAAATTTTGGCAACCTAGACTAAATTCTTCTCGAAAACCGGTCGATCGACAGCACAGGGATTTTCGAACATAGAAACTAACTTTCGAAATGTCACTTTTAACCACGAGTTGAATTTAACTCGGCAAACGGTTCACAGCCTTAATCGACGGAGATGCTAGTTTCTGTTTCTCCCCTTTTTGGTTCCGTACTCCGTTCATCCTACTCACACTTACTTGTTATGATCCGGGACGGGACTTTACAATCGAGCTTCTCACTCTTGTTAATGTTTTTGAAGAATGTCCTTCGGAAAGTTGTGCTTGGTGTTTGACGGGGTTGACCAATGATGTCAGAAATGTAAAATATTTTTTTAAACACGCAGTGCACTCAATTTTTCAACTTCCCTTTCGCAAATATAAACAATTAACAACACCATTGACGTCAACATCGTCACTGCCAGCCAGATTGATGCGATCTCTCTGTCCATTTTATTCCACGATTGCTGCTGTCAAATCGACCAATCAGATGCTGGCTCGGATTTGACAGCAAATTGGCTCGAAATCGCAACCCGATTGTCAAGTCCCGTCCCAGGTTATGATCAGACTAGAGTCGGTGTCAGGGGCCTGACTGGCGGCCATGTTTTTGTTGCTATCATCTGCTCTTGTCTTTCTACTTATGACGCTATTTTCCGTCCCTTTCTACCATGTATAGTAGAGTGATGCAAAATTTGAAATTTTCGCTCCACAATACTTAAACGATTCCAAATCGGATCCTGACTAACCTCTCAAAATTTGAACCCATTTGGTGAGAAACTGAGATGGCACAAACCATTTGAAGTTTGTATGGGAATTACTATGGAAAAACCAAGACTTTTGTTCATGTCGATCTAATAATTCACCATATCGGTCTGCTTCAAAAACTTTCAACTGTGCTTGTAGGAAAATTTTCCCAGCTACAACTTTGCTGAAGACCACTTTTTGATCAAATGCAAGGATCGAAAGCTATCAATGGTTCAATGCGCTGATGTCTTATGATCATGCTCAATCAACTGCTCAGCAGGCAACATTGGTGTTTCTGGGGCGTTGAATAGGACACAAAAATCATGGCTACT